TTCTGCTGTTTTGAAAGAGAGCAAAGAGGAAATGGAATTCTGACTGGTCTAGTGAATTACCATCATTTTTCTTTAAATAAAGTTGGGGAAATAGATACAAATTGTTCTGTTTAGCTATAAGTTGCTAATTATAGTAGTCATTCTCATTCCTTATCTTTGATTGTGTTTAAAAGGGCGTGTTATATAAAAATTTGTGGAATTCTGTGTTGCTATATTCCTGCATTATGAAATCCTGGTTTTGGCACAATTACTACTACTCAGAACTCTGCTATGCAACAAAAACATTTAAAAACTAGGTCATATGGAAAATTCAAAACAAACCCTTTATTTATTACTGAAGTAACCTAGAAAAAGTGAGACATTACAGTTTAACAGGTATTTACGAACATGTATTGGTCAGTAATGGGTAGGTCTCTGGAGGCACTTAAGGACCATCAAGTTAGCATATTCTAATATAAATACTAAAAGACATGCATTGAGGCAGAGGGAAAGATATATCTAGAACTGTATGTTGGAAAATCTTTAATGCATTTGCCATTTCCCATGACAGTTTGGCATAATTTCCTAAATACTCAAAATCAGGGCTGTAGATTAATTGACTCCAGTAAGACATTGCATTAAAATCTTTCCATACACATTTAACTTTTTAGCTAAAAAGAACCTATTGGTCAGATTGTCGATTTGTGTTTTTAATTCCTTCCCATAAAATAAAACAATGGTTTAAGAAAGTTACATTAAGACTTTTTTTAAAAATTGCTTACATAAGCAAAAATTAGAGGAATGGCATAGTATTCCCAGAGCCATTATATTTTCTTGCAATATATCAAAATGTCTTTTTAAAAAAATACAGTAGTAAAGATTGAGGTATAACTTAAATACTTGATAATCTTTTGCACTAAAATAGATCACTTCGTTATCTTTAGTAAATATCAATGGCCTCTTTTTGCAGACTTTCTTCCCCTCAACTGTATGTGGTGATCATTTTCTGGGTCTGGAATTCTTCCTCCAGGTGTAAAGATTGAACTTCTTTTATGTGAAGTAGCTGATTATTTTCTTGCTGCAGAGAGCGAGAGGAAATAGATTAAAGTTCCTGTTAATACAGTGAAATTTACATATTGGCAAATAGCTGGTCTACACTAAACAAGATGGACTTTACCTCCTGGGCAGTATGGGTAAACTGCAGTTATTCCATAGAGATGTGATCTCTGCTCTGGAAGATACTCATCCGTAAGGAAGCCATTGTCTTTATTCACAGCTATAACACCATCCCTGTTAACAAAAGTGAGAAATGCTTTAGTTTCCCACAGAAATAGAACTACTCCTGAAAGAGGATTTATGTTCACAGAATTTAAGACACAAAGAACCATTATTTATTCTGACCTCCTGCATAACACAGGCCAGAGAACCTCACCCAGTAACTGCATCAAGCCGATTGGTTGTGTTAGTTTTATTATTTTAATCAGCCCAGGGCAGAATCACTAAGGGGCCTTTCCAAGGAGGCGGTATTGCCTCCCAAATGTCTGTCACTGAACATTTGGAAAAGATGTACAGGTTTAAATTGAAAATAATGTAATGGGATTGCATGAATGCCTGCAATGAGGTCAGGACTGGTTCCTTGTTGCCAGCACTGTCACTATAAGGGTTTTTTGGAGTGGGTAGAAGGAACAGGAAGAGGGCCTTTGTTATGGGGCATGTTTGGAAAAGGGAGTCAAGCTTTTTTTTTTTTTTTTTTTTTTTAAGTAAAAAGCGTAATGGCACTAGAGTTTTATAAAAATATAGTTGTAGCACCATTCATAGATTTTGTTTGTTTTTGCACAGATAATGTGAAAGCTGGGGGTAGGTTCTTTTTAAAATAATTATATACCATTAGTACACTGCTTTTAATGCAAAGTGCATATTACATTTAGGCCTCCATTGACAGGACTACTAAACAGAACTGGCTTGAGGAACATGGGGTTGATTTTGCAGTGTATTTGACCCAGATGGTTTCTGTGAAAGTGACTAACTTGTATATTAGATTCACTTAGGCGTTTTCCACTGAATTTTAGCTGCCTGTAGTACCAAGGAAACTTGGAAAACAGGAACTTGATATTTTTGTGAGCTAGCAGTTATTCAGCCTACACTGAATAATGTTATGGAACAGAAAACCCCCAAACCACCCCCTAACTGTCAATAATACAATAGGCTGGATTGCTGCTTAAAGATGACATGCTGGCATTTTGCCCTTAAATAGTTAGGTGACTAGGGTGTAATAGTTACTAGCCTACCTTCTCCAGTCAGTGTGATAAAAGTGATTGGCATAACTAACAATGCTGAAGGGGTAGTTGAGGTTATTCTGAATGACACGCCTTCCTGTTCCATCTGGTAACGTGCACTCCAGCTTCTTGGTACCTTTTACAAATAAAACATTTAATGAGGCAAGAAATAGTGTATTTTCCATGGAATTTTACTCAGGCTAGTAGGCCACAGCATATTGTGGCCTAATGATGATCATTGGAACAGTCCTGATCAGTAAACTTGTATCCTAGGTCCCTTCTAAAGAATATGAAAATCCACATAATGGAGGATAACTAGAATTTTGGTTTTCTAGGGTGTTTTCTTTACTCTAGAGGAATTGGTTCTATACTGGGAGTATAGAGACTGAAATGGAATTCCCAGTTTGACTGGGCAGGTATGCATGCACCTCTGCTCAATCCACTATAAGGATGTAAAGGAAAGCAATTTCTATATATACTTGTTCATAAGCATTAAAGAGCAGGGGTCGGCTTATCAACGGGTCTACACCAAAATTTGATGATTTTAAGCTCTATTGAATTGAATATCTAATACTTTGTCATTTTGTTTGCCTGGAGTGTTCGCAGGCCCAGAGCCCCTCAGCTCCCACTGGCTGCACTTCGCTGTTCCCAGCCCATGGGAGCTGTGGGATGTGGTGGCCAGCATGTCCCTCAGCCCATGCCCCTTCCCACAACTCCTATTGGCTGGGAACTGCAAACCACAGCCACTGGGAGCTGAGGGGCTCCGTGCCTGCGAGCACTCCAGGTAAATAAAATGTCCTGGCCCACTAGCAACTTACCCTGATGGGCTGGGAGCCAAAGTTTGGCACCCCCTGAAATACAGGGTCGGCTTATGAAAGGATGATACAGTTTTTACTATTTTTACCTATTCATCTTGGGGGAGTCGGCTTATAAACAAATGGGCTAATGAATGAGTACATACGGTACTTTATTTTTGTCTATGTGCCTCTGTATAGAGGCTCAATTCTTCAATCTGTGTCATATAGACAGTATTCACTGAAAGACCCATGTGGATTCTAAACTCAGTCCTAAACATATCTCAGTACAAAATGCAGCTATGCATGCGTTCTCCTTCGTTGCTATATAGGTACAGAAAATGTCCATCTGTGTATAGCAGCCAATACATTCTTGTGATGAAGCTGTTGTGTGTTACAATTCCACATTAATATTCATGACAGTCAAAACCATCTGCAAAAGAATTGCGGAGAAATCCAAATAAGGAACACTTTTTTAGAAACTATACACAGGCATCCTAATTTTAGAAGTTAAATTATTTCACCTTTCCTTTAAAAACAAAAATCTCCTATCCAGATCGAGTTACAGTCTCTTCTGCATTCTACTGCTTGAAGTTGGAAGCCTTTGGTCTGAATACTACCCTCTGCCGCTGCCTCTAAAGCCCGTCTGCCCAACGCCCACTTAACCTCTGAAGACATCCACACTTCATTCACATACATAAACCTAACGTGGGGTAGAGGAAAATCGTCCACAATGTTTTAGCTGATAGAGGCCAGCTAACACACTTAACAGAAAATAACATTACACAGCTTCAGCAAGCCCACCTTATGCAGTAGGATATATTCAGAAGTCAGTAAAGTATTTTCTGCCTTTCAATCTAAAATTTGTCATGTTTAGGCACTGTGTGAAAAAGTCCACTCCCTGTTTGTTTTTTATAAGGGGGATGATGGGAAGTGTATGGAGAATTTTTATAGATGTGCTATGTTTCAATCTATTAGCTTAAGTTACCTGCGTCTGCCCAGCAAATCAGTTTGGAGAAAGGGTCAAACGTCAAGCCATTTGGTAAGCCGATGTCTTTATTCACCAGAATCCTTCTGTTAGCTCCATCTACGGTTGAGGTTTCAATTTTAGGTGCTTCACGGTTCCAGTCAGTCCAGTAAAGGTTGCTGTGGGGGAGTCAATTAACAAACCACAGTAAGGATTCACAGTGGGTGAACCAATTTAAAAAAACAGAATTGCAAGAACGATCAGAAAAGTCCCAGACCTCTCGGTCTGCTTTATGGAACAGATCATTAGCGGATGTGACATTCCCTAAAAGGAAAGCTGAACAAGCTCCGAATGTGTTTTTACAACAAGTCATTTGCAACGATTAGATTGAAGCTATTCTTCTGTAATTAGGGCCAGTCCCATTAACTTTCTAGACAGCAAATGTACGAACATGGGGTGTTATAAGCACTCTTCATAAAAAAGTGTTCCAAATTTGCACAAGATTCAAACCCTTTCAATGATATTTTAAATCTGAACACTGCATATAACTGGTAAATTTAGCCAAATATTAAATTAGTAAATAGGAGGGTAAAAGTGTTTCACACTCTGATCTTGAGAGCTTCCTTCCTACACACCCTTAAGGAAATAACTATCTGGAGCGTGTGCACACGAGAGCGAAATGTCTATCACGCCAGATATTACCACTATTACTTGCTTTGCAGCCGGTAGCATTTACTCAGAGCAAGAAGAGTTTTGTCTCAGGCCAGTGACTGATTAATAAATGACTGTAGGGGGCAGCATGCACATGAGGAAAATTCAGTTCACTTATTCACCAGTGCTTTTCCAATGGGGTAGCCAGGATGCCAATGTACTTACTAGCAGGTTTGTCTAACCCTGTTGTGAGACCTGTTTACACTACAGCTCCCACTATTGGAATGGTGCTAGTGGTGAATTATGGGTCTGACTTTTAACACGGAAAATGCAGCTCCTAGGTCCAGCATTGTAGTCAGTTGCCCTGTGGGTGAATCTCATTTCAGTCCAACCCACCATACGAACATAACGACACAAAGGTCTGTAAGAATACCGCCTTTTACAGCATGGGTGCTGTGCTGCCATTTACCCTCTAATTGCGTCCACAGCAATTGCACGAGGATTCACAAGGTCTGTATCAAACAGAACTCGCCGCTCTGAACCATCCAATCTTGCACGCTCAATTTTGTCCAGGCCGCTATCTGTCCAAAACATGGTTCTGCGGAAGTGGTCGATGGTGAGTCCTTCGGGACTCATCAGGCCTGGAAGGAAGTGAAAAGAGAACCACTGTCAGTATATGGGCAAGGGAGTATTTTGTGATCAGACTTGGTATTTACGTACAGTAGAACCTCAGGGTAATGAACACCTCCAGAATGGAGGTTGTAACTCTGAAATGTTCGTAACTCTGAACAAAATGTTCTGGTTGTTCTTTCAAAAATTTACAACTGAACATTGACTTAATACAGCTTTGAAACTACTGGGCAGAAGAAAAATGCTGCTTTCCCTTGATTTTTTTAGTAGTTTACATTTAACACAGCACTGTACTGTATTTGCTTCCCTCCCCGCATCTCTGCTGCTGGCTGACTGCATGCTTCTGCTTCCAAACGAGGTGTGTGGTTGACTGGTCAGTTTGTAACTCTGGTGTTCGTAACTCTGAGGTTCTACAGTAGTACTTTACATTTTGTAATATCGTAATTAATCCTCCCTGTACCCCGTCGGGTGGTTTACTATTATCCCTGTTGTTCCATCTAGCTCTCCTCCCCCGAATCGATCATAATTTGTGATGCCTAATGGGGAAAGCCAGGCAGATAATGGCTTGCCAAAGGTTATTGAGAGCGACCACGTCAAAGCTGTGATTAGAGCTCAAAAATTCCTCCTTCCCAGCCCCACTGTGATTCTGCTATGTGGACAGCAGCTTCAATGTCTCTATTCAAACCAGCCATATTCAATCCAAAGGAAATGGTGATTTACCTGAGTTAATAATGGTTTCAGGTTCAGCCCCTGGTTCTAAACTTGCTCGGTTAACTGTCCGACCAGCAACGTCTGTCCAATAGACCATTTTTTCCCGACAATCATAATCTAGTCCAACCACTATGGAACCCTGTAGGGATTTAAAATATATGTCTTTTTTTTGTTTGTTTTTTTAAACTTATTCCCCTCCACTGCAAAGATCTTTACGATGGGAGGCAGAGTTGACTCAGGCAATCTAGCCATAGTTTGAGGTTTGTCCCTTTGGGTACAATTTGGTTAAAATGATCAAACTTTCTGTATGCGGGAATAAGCTTGAAAGACATCAAAGTTCCAAACGGGTGGTTGTATTTTAATTCAACCAGCTGGGCCCAATTCGGTGCTGCTTAGGGTGACCAGACGTCCCAATAAAACCGGGACTGTCCCGAGATTTAGTTGTTTGTCCCAGGTCCCGACCAACGTATGGTCGGGACACCATTTGTCCCGATATTTTGCACTCTTTCTTTCTTTTTTTTGCTTCGGCGGCGCCCCCACTGTGTCTTGATATTTTGTTCTTGTCATCTGGTGACCCTAGTGCTGCTGTAAGCGGCTGCAGTTCTACCGACTTGAGTTGTGTTTCAGCCACCAGAGAATTTGAACCGCTCGATCCGTCTGACTTTTGTTTGGTATGAAATACTCAAGCTGGACGAATGGAGAAGCACTTCCTTCTGTTCTGAAGCACTGGTGTGTTACTGTCCAGATTTTGTTAGTTGCACGGCCTAGGAGTTTGTACTGAAATCTTTGGGAATTCTTATTTAAGACAGATGTCCCAGGCACATGTCTGTCTCCAGCTGGGCTTTAGAAAAACCTCCGGGATCAAGCAGAGACTTGTACAAGATTGTAGCCAACACATGTAATGACCTTCAAACTTTCAGGAGGGAATATTTCACAATTTAAGTACATTTCCCCCCTCCTCCCGATATAGATTTGATGGTCATGCCCCAATTCTCTTGGCCTGTTTGGTCCCTTTTGAGATGATTGAATAAGTGGCTCGTCTCTAATGGGGGGAAAGTGGGGGCGGGGGAGGGAGAAAAGATATAAAAGGAGAAGGGGCTGTGGGAAGGTTCAAAGGTTCAAAGACTTTCTCAATGGAGTATCTGAAGCAAAAGCTCGATAGGACATTACCCTCTGCTCTCAACTATACAAATGATTCAATCTCCTACTTAGCCCGAAAACCACACCACCTCCGAGTCCGATTTTATTTTATCGTCTAGAGAAAGAGGAGAGAGACGACAAAACTGAAAATATTATCCTGATACGCAAGCCATGCCCACTGGGTGAGGTGCTTTGTCCCCCTCCAGTGGGGGCTGTGCCACATCAAGGTCGATGAGTCTACTACAGCCTTGTCTACAAGACCTGAGTCTTTCAACTCATAGAATATCAGGGTTGGAAGGGACCTCAGGAGGTCATCTAGTCCAACCCCCTGCTCAAAGCAGGGCCAATCCCCAGACAGATTTTTGCCCCAGATCCCTAAATGGCCCCCTCAAGGATTGAACTCACAACCTTGGGTTTAGCAGGCCAATGCTCAAACCAACTCAGGAAGTAGCAGCACATACATTCAAAGCCAGAGGTTCAGTCCCGGCTCTGACAACGCAGCCGGGGCGTGGTAAGACAAGTGGTGGCCTGTACAGGGAACTGAACTGGGAAACCTCAAGCTCAAGATGTGTTTCCCTGGCCAGGTGGAGTGTATAAGCCATGTCCACCTGGTGTAGTGCTCTGTCTCCCTCTGGTGGGGGCTAGGCGCGATTGATTAGCCTGCTACAGTTTTGGCAAGAGAGCTGGGTCTTTTTTAACTTATTTAATTCCCCCCCACCCCACCCAAGTACTGGTGTTACATACATATACGTTCCTTATACAGACAGCTCATCTCCCAAGGCAAAGATTCTATATAGACTTGTCACTACATACGGTGCACCCTTTAAACCCTGGGCTGCTAGACGCAACGCATTCTGAAGAAGATACTTTACATGCAGTGAGAGCAGGGTCTTTGCCATCTCTTTCTGAAGCCTTGTGCCGTTCAGCGGTAAATAGCCTATTTGCTGTCCCTGAGCATACAGCAGGAAGGTGCCCGCAGCCGGCGGAGTCACATCAGGACGCGGAGAGGGCTGGACAGTGGGAGGAGCAAGGCTGGGGAGACCTGTCAGTCAAACACAAAGGTTACATTCCTGCCTGACCTCGCGTGGAGAGACTTTAAAGGTGCAGTGACCTCTCGAAGGGGAAGATCAGGTGTTCTGACCAGAGTTCAAGTTGGAAAAGTATGTGTGGGGGGGTGGGGAGGTGTATAATGTCTTTTGCCCCTCGCTCCACCACCATTTTTTTGTCAAAACTTTGTTTGGATGGGAATTTTCCACCCAGCTCTAAGACTGTGTGTGGGCAAGTGCACACACATGCAGAGAGACAAGGTGGGTGACGTCATAACTTTTATTGGACCCACTTCTCTTGGTGAGAGAGAGACCAGCTTTCAAGCTGCACCGAGTTCTTCCTCCGCTCCCACCCTTTTGAAATCTACCGCACTGGAATAGGGGTGAGACGGATTACAATTTAGTTTCTTGAGTATTGATTTAGGGCCTGATCTTGCACTCGGAGCTGCACAGACATCTGGATCCCACTGCAGGATCAGGACCCTAATTAGTTATATCCTCTGTGTACAGACCCTTGGCTGTGAATCTCTGAGCATTAGACTAGCAGCAGCGTGACCGTTTTCCTCACCCTAACAAGCCTTTTGTTTCATACCCAGTTCCTCCCCAGCAAATCACTGTGTACTCACACGGCGGGGGGACGCCAGGTTCCGATCTCGTTCCTTGAACCTCTCTGCCACTTTCATCCACGCACCAACAATAGCCACTGTTGCCATGGCACTGCAGTGGGTTAAAGTTGCCCAGAGCATCACACTGGGGTACGTACTGGTCTTCGCGTGGCCTGCCACCGTAGTGCTCCAGGAGGCTTTGCCGCCAGCGTTCACACATGGTCTGCGGTCTCTGGGTGGGCTCTACAGCGAAGGGTGAGAGGTTCTGATGGGAGCACGGCCAGAATCTGCTTACAACACGCCCAAGCCCTAAGCACAAGCTCCACCTTGCAAGGCTCGCCGGCTTTCTGGCACCAGGCCCATCAATGACGCTAAAAAAACGTTAGCGCCCCAAATAATTCAAATAGAACAGCCTATAGATCTGAATGGAAAACGTGCAGCCAGCTAACGCACGCTCGGGCTGGTTTAGAATAGCTTTCAATGGGATGGTGTCCCTTTAAGGAGTTACCTGTTGTTCCCAGCCCAGCTCATTCGAACCAGGCCAATGCCAATCAGTCTCCATTAAAAGAGCTGGTGGCATTTACTACAGTAAAGCGAAGATGAGGAGAGAAGCAGGGTCAATTACAGGAATGGGCTATTTGGCTCCGGGCCCTGGAAACTGTCTGAGCCAATGATAAGCCCTGGAGAACGTCCGCCTGTTTCATACAGAACCCAGTGGGAACTCTTGCTTAAAGACTTTCCTAAGCAAAGGCTATAACCTTACTGCTAAAGGAGGGGGGTGGTTTCTGTTCCAACAGCTCTTGGCACCACCGAGCTCAGTGCTATTTGGAAATGGGGGACGCTGCTCTTAAGCTGAGCCACCCCTGATCGTGTGCCCAGAAGGGCAAAATAGACCCAGCCAGCGAGCACAGCGATGGGACGGGAGCGGAAGGGAGAATGGAGAAATAAATCCCTTTTGTAGCAATGCAGCCCTGACCCCCGGCGTGAGCACTGGGCATCTCACAGCCTCCCTAGGAAGTGCCTTTGCCTTCAGCTCAGGGTCAGGTACGAGAAAAGGCTGATTTGTGGGGCTGGGAGCTCTCAGGGGAGACGAAACAGAAAAGGTCACATTGATTTGGGAAGCTTCTCAGGGACCATTTTCCTCCCCCAAAGCAGCAGGGGGTGAGGCTCAGTGCCTGCAAGGGATTTAGGTGCTTAACGTCCAGAGATTTCAACGGGAGTCAGGTGCCGCAGTGCCTCCAGCCTGCTTGGCCTGCAGCAGGGCGGGTGTGTGTGTGTGTGTGTGCGCGCGTGTGTGCGCGCGCTTGTTCCATCATGGGACAAGCCCTAAGAACATAAGAACGGCCGTACTGGGGCAGACCAAAGGTCCATCCAGCCCAGCATCCTGTCTACCAACAGTGGCCAATGTCAGGTGCCCCAGAGGGAGTGAACCTAACACCTGCCCCATGTACTTTGCCTTACTCAGCAGGCAGATTAGTAACAAGCTATGTTCGTGCTCATCAGAGGGACCTTAATACACCTGCTGCTATGGGCCTGATGCTGAGAGGTGCGGTGCACCCACAGCTCTGGTGTATCATGACAACAGCAAGTAGAGGCTCCAGTGTGCTAGGCGCTGTACAAATACCTAGGGCGAGACCGTCCCTGCCCCAGAGAGCTTCCAATCTAAAGTGGCAAAGTGACTTACGCCAGCTCACTGGCAGAGCTGGAAATAGACTCCACGGCACCTGGAGCCCAATCCAGTGCCCTGGCCCCACTGCCAGCAAGTGTGTGTGGCGGAGGGGGGAAGGAACAGGGTTCAAAGCCTCAACGCAAGGGCTCATCTACCCACAGCTCCATCTCCCATTTCCACGCCCCGTGGGGCAGGTGGAGGTGCCCAGGGCAGGGGCTATGTAGCACTCAGGAACTCGGGTGCATTTTACACTGGCTGTGCACGAGGAAAAGCAGGGTTCATGGATACCTGTGTTCGATCAGCGAAGGGCCGACGGCAGCCCACGGCAGTTCCCACGGCAGGCTCAGGGGGGGCGGGGCCACTCACCCGGAGGCCCGGCGCGCGGCGGGGCGG